CAATGGGGAGCATTTGTTTGGGTGGTCCTGGCTCTGTGGTCTGTGCCACGGTGGCTCTCAGGCTGGGCAAAGCTGCCAAGGCAATGCATCACCCTCGCCTTTCTCCTGTGTCCTGCCCGGGGCTCCCGGACACCAGCCCAGCCCTGAACCGTGTCCATCTGGGTGCAGGTACGGATTCAACAGCCACGGCCACGCTGCAGTGGAGCGCAGGCTGCGGGCACGCCAGGAAACACAGCTCAGGCTCACTAGTGGTGAGAGAAGCTTCTAAGCCTTTGCTCTTGGGGTCTGCAGGGTGGCTCTGGGGGTCTGCCAGGTAGCTGTAGGCTGGGAAAGACGTGCAACGGCAGCGTCCCGGCACAGAGCGTCCAGGCACAGGAAGGCCCTGGCCGGATCGAGGTGTTTGGACAGCAGGACCCTCTTGGGCTGCAGCCTCTGCCCCTTGGAACTGTGACCGGACACCTTTGTCCCGATGTTTTCCCTGTGGTAGAGGCTCCGCTTTGGTTAGGACACATCTGCTGAGACTGGCCAGAGCCAACAGGGCACAGCCGGGCAGTTTTCAAGGGCAGCCTGTGCGGGGTGGCCAGGCTGGAGGTGGCGCTGCTGAGGCGTCTGTGGTGATGCTCCTGGGGCTGCAGGACAGTCCCAGGCCCATCTCCACAAAAGACATGGGCTGCACATCCTCGTCTTGATTTTAGCTGGTCCTGAGGCCTCCCTTGTCGGGCACTCTGGCCCCTCAGGGGTGGTGGTCCTGCTGCCCTGGTTCAGCTGTGTCTGTTCCAGCGGGGATGCCCCTCGGAGTCAACCTGGGCAAGAACAAGAGCTCTGCCGATGCCACGGCTGACTACGTGGCTGGGGTCCGGACATTGGGCCCCTTGGCTGACTACTTGGTTGTGAACGTGTCCAGCCCCAACACCCCAGGGCTGCGGGACCTGCAGGGCAAGTCCAAGCTGCGGGAGCTGCTGACCAAGGTGGGTGACCCTCACAGCTGGCCTGGACCAAGGTGGGTGACCCTCGCAGCTGGCCTGGACCACGGCTGCTGCACCGGGTTCATCCCATCCCCTGCAGCACCAGCTCGGCTGCAGCCTGCAGTTTGCCCCAGTGGGGATAGCAGGGCCTGTCCCTGTGCTGCCCATGGAGGTGGTGTGGGCATCTCCCTGGTCTGGGCAGGAGGCGTTGCCCTATCACACACTGCCCTGTGCCCTTCGCGCTGCCCTGCAGGTGCTGGCAGAAAGGGATGCGCTGCCCTGTGAGCGCAAGCCAGCAGTGCTGGTGAAGGTTGCCCCCGACCTCACTGCGCAGGACAAGCAGGACATTGCTAGCGTTGTCTGTGAGGTGAGGAGGTGGAAAGGGAGGCTGGCGGGGAGCGGGGCTGGCGTGCCTCCTGTCTCACCTCCTGCGATGTGGGGCAGGGCTGCGGTGCTCCTGGCAAGTCACCGCTGAAGGGATGGGGGGACCCACAGGGATGGTGTCCTGGGTGGCTCTGTGTCCATGAGGCCTGTGTGTGCCCCCAGCCCTTGGGGACAGCCCAGACAGAGAGAGGCCGCAGCTTTGTCCCCAGGCACATTGCTGGGGCACCTGGGGAGTTCTGGCCTGGCAGCATGGGGATGAGAGCAGGGGCTGCCCATGTCCTCACGCCGCTGCCCCTCGGGGGGACCCACAGGGATGGTGTCCTGGGTGGCTCTGTGTCCATGAGGCCTGTGTGTGCCCCCAGCCCTTGGGGACAGCCCAGACAGAGAGAGGCCGCAGCTTTGTCCCCAGGCACATTGCTGGGGCACCTGGGGAGTTCTGGCCTGGCAGCATGGGGATGAGAGCAGGGGCTGCCCATGTCCTCACGCCGCTGCCCCTCAGCTGGGTGTGGATGGGCTGATTGTCAGCAACACCACCGTGAGCCGCCCCAGCAGCCTCCAGAGCCGGCAGCGCATGGAGCCCGGGGGCCTCAGCGGGAAGCCCCTGCGGGAGCTTTCCACACAGACCATCAGGGAGATGTACGCCCTCACCCAAGGTGGGGGTGCGGGCTGGCGTCGCTCGTGCTGTCCTGACCCCGTGCCCGCCCACAGGCCGGGTGCCCATCGTTGGGGTGGGGGGCGTGAGCAGCGGGTGTGATGCCCTGGAGAAGATCCGCGCTGGAGCCTCACTGGTGCAGATGTACACGGCACTCGTGTACCACGGCCCAACGGTGGTGGGGACGGTGAAGCAGGAGCTGGAGGAGCTGCTGAGGTGAGTGAGGGGCCAGGCATCTCCCCGGGGAGCCCCCAGGCCCAGGGTGGCTCTGGTGCACGGGCAGCGGTGCTGTGGGGCTGGGCTGCAGTGCCGGCCCCGCCATCACAGCTGTCTCTGCAGGGAGCAGGGGTTCAGAAGCGTCATGGATGCGGTCGGAGCAGATCACCGGTGCTGATGCTGCAGATC